TTTCGCCGCACACGTAGCCCTCCTTCCGCGGCACGCGGATCGCGTCAACGCTACGTCCTTGTCCGCACGCAAACAAACACGCGAGAGATATCCTACCTACGACTACGAGTACGAGTACTATTATATGTAGGCACAATATAATATATAGCTCAGGCTCATAATATGAACGGTGTACACTTGTACAGTGTATGGTGTGCGCTATCGGTATACAACAGAATTTATGCGTGCACGCACACAGGGGCATTCGTTACCTTTGGCGCCTTGCTTTGTGCAACTAAATTGGCAGATTTATTCACGTGCTTAATAATATCAAGTGCATGGCAGGGAAAGTGATGAAACTTCTCATTCTATAAACAAGTTTTATATGAATAAAATAATTATCAACTAGCTGGATTTGCTAACTTTATATTTTATCAACGTTTCAAGTTATTCTTGATCGAATCGACGAAATTTGGAACTGGTGGTTCATAGCATCATGCCTTATGGCGTAACGAAAACGAACTTACCGTAACGTAATTTATTTATTTTTTTCAAATGTTTTAAAAAGATTTTCTTGAGAATTTTGAAGATTTTTTAGAATTTTTTGTATCATCCATTTTTTTTAATTGTAAGACCTTGAAACGTTAAAATATGCAAAAGTTTCCATTTTCGATTTTTTTGCTATTATTAAAACTCTACGAGAAGTTAAAAAGTATTTTTGTGTTTATATTTAACCTTTTCCCGAAATAATCAAGTTATATCTTATAGAGATGGACCGTATAATATACACCCTCGCAGTAATTTGTGATAACTTTCTCAATAAATGTAATGACAAAGACTAGGTTTCACGTAATTGGTATTTGTGAGTTAAAAGGTCGTTCGTAGCATCACCATCACCATCACCATCACCATCGCCATCAACATCAACATCGGCCCAGCATCCCGAATTGACACAATCCAGTGCGTGTTCTGACGATAACGCTACTTTTCCCTCTCCTAGTATGAAATAAATATTATGAGATCGCCGATTCGCCATGTCTTGCCACTTCTCATTTCAACTTTGCCAGGAATCAGATTTATGTAATACGTATCGATATCAAGAAATGAACCGGAAAATTTCACTAGTATTAGTGCCGAAAACGAAAATACAATATATTTTTTGCTAGATTATTATTAACTTTCCAAAGAGCAAGTTTATGTTTTCGCAAAAAAATCTAATTTTCTAATTTTATGTTTTCTCGTTATTCTTATTCGAATGAGATCAAATTTGCAAAAAGTATGCGTGTATGTGTGAGCCGATTTTTGGCCTTTTGTCGACGTTTTCTCAAAAACGGCTGGACTGATTTAAAAAACGATAAGGACTAGCGCTTTCTAACTATTTCTTTGTAATTGACAGAAAAGCGTAAAATTTTTCCTCCACAATTTTTAATCGAGTTTATAAACTCAAAAACTGTTCGAAAGATATTGATTCGCGTTGATTAGTTTTTGATATAGATAGGCCGGACCGTTTCGTATATCGTTTGATCTTGTAGTCTGAAATAACATACTAAAATATTATAGGCCTACGATAAGCGCTTGAATTATAAAAATGCATTAAAGTTTAGTTCTAATCAGAATCTATACCAAAGCATATGCACATTATGTTGTGTTTCGTAAGTAGCTACTGATTACAGTTGACGTCCACACTTAAATATAGTTCGCATTTGCATTCGAGCCGGGCAGGCATTGGACGGATTATGTCAAATAAAACAATCCGCCGCAAC